TGCTGCAGTTGTTGTTGCTGCAGTGGTTGTTGCTGCAGTTGTTGTTGCTACAGTGGTTGTTGCTACAGTGGTTGGTGCTGCAGTGGTTGGTGCTGCAGTTGTTTGCACTGTAGTGGCTGTCGCTGCAGTGGTTGGTGCTGCAGTTGTTGGTGCTGCAGTTGTTGAAACTGTCAAGAAATAATATGCAGATTGCCATGAAAATGTCTTTGCATAAGGTCATAGTGATTTAGATGAGCCTCCAGTCTTTACTTGAGTTCTGACCATATAAGCCAAACTCTGCAGACCCTTCATTTTATTTTGATTTGTATTCTCTCTTTAACAGAGCACAGCATTCAATGTAAAACTGAACTCTATGTCAGTGATTTTCGATTTTTCCACTATCAATCATTACTCTTGAAGCTGCTTCATGCTTCTTGAGTGCATTGTTATTACTGAGTGCAGTACACGGTATTGTATAAATTACATACAACATATAACATTCATTCAGTTGTTTTTGTTTTTCATTGTTACTATTCCATTTATAATTGTAGCTACTTTATTTTTAATGGTATATTTTTTAGTTATGAATTAATTAATGCTGGGGTTTTATTTTTTATTTTTGTTTTTGTTTTTTGCTTTTTTTGGGGTTTTGGGATTTTGTGGCTGGAGCCTATCACAGCTGACTCAGGGCGAAGGAAGGGGACACTCTGGATAGGTATCCAGGTAACAGGGCTACACTTAGAGACAGATAACCAAGCACACTCACATTCACACCTACGGACAATTTAGAATCACCACTTAACCTCAACGTGTTTCTGGACCTTGTAGGAGGAAGCCAGAGAGCCCGGAGAGAACCCACGCTGCATGGGGAGAACATGCAACCTCCACGCAGAAAGATCCCGGGTGTCCTCACCACCCCAACTGGTGACCTTCTAGCTGTGAGGCAAAAGTGCTAACACTGCTCCACCTTGCGGCCCTGCATATTACCATTTCACCATAAGTTACCCTCTTGAAAGTAAACCAACTGAATTAATCTACTGCATTCAACCATATGTAATGAAATGCTTTGGCTTCTTGCTGTATAACTGTAACTTAATCAAGTTTTAATTAAGTTTAAGATTGTTTAGTCTACCTGTCATGCATGTATTCATTCTCACGATTCGTCAGTGTGTTGTCATTCTAAACAAGAAATGGACACTTTTTTGGTTTGATTTTTGCTGTTTGATCTGGCTGACAGGAATGTTGAAGAACTGTCATGTTCAGCGGAAATTCATGAAATTTATTTTATGAGACAATCAGTAGTTTATTGAGATGATATCAAAAGCAGGTGGAACATAACATTTTCTAGAGTTTCAAATGTATAGCACAGAATAAAGAAGAGTTACTTATTAGTATTACCTTATTTTAGATGCTCAGGATTACCCATATCTGCTACTCTGAAAACCACAAAAATATCACTCGTAATGAATATTTACCTTGTGCTGAGGCCGCATGAAAACATACAAGCAACAATATCCAACAAAAGAATTTAGTTTCCATGTTGAGTGGTGTTCATGTGACTGTTCTCTGTATAAAGACTTTATTCTGATTGTGACTTTGTGCTAAGTCTGTGAATTGCTCCTCCTTCAGCTATTGAATGGGAGTGACAAGGCATCAATCACAGAAGTTTCTTTCAGGTAAGGTGACATTGACTGTCAAAATATAACAGAATAAGAAAAAGCTCATAAAATGCATCATACAGTTAAACACATTTTTTTCTGTTTGTATAGTAGCACACTGTTGTTTAAATACCATTTACTCATCCACACACTCAAAACACTGGCATTTTTTCTTTTGCCATGTGAAAAATGATAAGTAATACAAGAGAAACATACAGGGAAAAGAAATTGTGTTTACATTTATCCAAATGATGTAGTAATCTAGCACAGCTCTATAAATGCTCTAAGTTGAATTTATTACATTCATGTTTTGTAAACACAAGTGGGCCAAAAAGAGAAGTACAATGCCATCAACTGTGAATTTTCCCTGGTTAAAATTCCATTGATATTACAAAGCCATGATTGGATACCAACATTGAGGCTGTCAAACAGGTTTTTTTTTTTCTTCTTAAATTAATGTAGTGCAGTTCTTCTCTTTCTCTCCTCTCTTTGCTCTTGGTTGTGCCAAGCTGTACTATTGTCTATTATGACTGTATAACTATCATTTAAGTTTCATCTACATGATGTAGACTCTAAGTTCAACTCTTTTTAAAAGCTTTGCAGATTCTCCCTACCACTATTGAGCGCTTTTCCAAAGCAGAGATATATTTATATGAACTGTACTTTATAAAATCATGTATTTACAGAACAGCAGCTATGGCTCATTAATTTTACAATCTGTTTTCATGGATATGCTTTTTTTTTTTTTTATTAGGAAACAAACAAATCAACCACACCTATGAATGCATAATTTATTGTTGTGTTTTCACTTAATTATTATAATGCTTTTTCTCACCTGATGACTTGTTATTTGATTCAGTGCTCTCTTGCTGTCTTATAAATGCTGTTCTGAAAAAGCAAAATTCGCAATGTGTTTCTAGTATTACATATCAATATTTTTTCAGCAGTGCATAGATAATGGATGGACAGATGGATCTCTGTTTTGTTCAGCCTTTAATGTCTTTATTTAACTGCTGCATGTCCATGTCTGAAAACCCCAAAACAACCAGTAATTACTACTCTTCTAAATAATCAATACTCTACTGACTATTTATGTGTAACTCACAGCAAAATACATCAGTTCCCATTATATTTAATGTTAGGACATTCATCTTTGCTTGTTTGTGGTAGAATACAGCATGTTTTTGCCTCTTAAGTCCTAAAACGATTTACAGATTTTTGCTCAAAAAACAAACTTGAGAATATAACGTATTTAGTTTCTTCCTTGCTTTAACCGCCAACAGAGCGCAACAACAAAAAATACATTTGAAAAGGGATGTGACCTGATTATTTTCAAGGATTACAAACCAATTAGCGGTAAACCAATCAACAAGACACACTTTTATACAAGAAACATAACACTACCAAATAATTTAATATTTAACTTTAATATACACGTTTCTACAGCGTCTTTGGATGCCTCGTACAAATCTTTGGCCACCATGGTTCCTGGAGCGAACATGTTTGTCCGGACGCTTTCAGTGTAACACACCGTGCGCATGCTCAGTTGTCCAAAGCTCTTGACTGCACGGTGGCTAGAGTAGTACAGTCTTATTTCTCTGCTGAAGCGGAACTTTGTGCTTTTCAAACGGTAGTTTATTTTATTATTGTAGGAACTGAATTGTCTTCCTGATTTCAAAACAGCAATAGCAATAGTGTTGGTTTCTATTAAAATAACACTGTAAAATCCACTCAGCTAAGCGTTAGCATGTCTGTTTTGCTAGCTAGCTAGCTAAACAACGCGAGTAACGTCGTTCTCAACTTTAACACATTAAATTAAATTTCTTAGTTTATTCCCCAAGTAAATACTTTTTTTTTTGTTTTTTAAAAACCAAATTAGCGACCACATTCTTTTTCACAAAGGATGTCTCAGTCGCAAGACAAGACTGTCTGAGGTGGGATAAACATAGCTCACGCCACTCCGCGGCTTCAGTGTTTTTGGCTTGTACAATAATGTGACAGCAGTCCTGCAGAAACAGAATGGACAGAGAATTGTTGCGGCAATGTCTGACGTATCATGGAGAATCTCTGTTCAACAAACTGAAATGTGAACAGACGGAGAACCCAGACTTCCAAGCCGTGGTGTCTGACTTGTGTAAGGCCACGTATCAAAGGTATGTCAGCGAGTAGTGACTCCACGTACAACGATAACAGAATTCCCACGAGGCTCCACTTGTGTCATGAGTGTCAAGAAAACAGTCGCATCATTACTCTTTTATGTGTTCTAGTAGAAGGAGCGTAAAGATAGTGGCCATCTGATGTCTGGTTATTTTTCAGTTTGTGTTGTTTCCATCCACAGCCTTTATCTTATCATTTTTTGGTCTAATACCATGCTGCAACAGTTATTTCTTTATTAGTCAGTCCGTTTGGTCTATAAGTCTGTAAAGTCTCTCTTCGATGATTGATTCAAGCCCTGCAATCCTATCTTTGTGTATCAAAGTTACACATTTAAAATATTTAACCATGAGAAGAATCCTTACCTGCGTTAAAGAAACATAAATGTATCTCTGCACATTGCTTCGTTAAGAATGTGCAGATCTATCAGTCACTGCCTCTCTCTCCTCACATTCGCCCCTACTCACTGCAGCTCAAGCACACCAGCTCACCTGCTACTTTGCCGAAACACCATAAAATAACTCTGCCCTACAAAATGGCAAGTTGTGATATTAGACTAATTTAACCATACACGTTTGAACCAGAAGCTGATTATAAAGAAGGATAATAAAATAGAACGCTCCATTCTGTTCCTTATGTTTATCATGTATGAAACCCTGGAAGTCTGTAAGTGTTTTTAATCCCTTTTATACACACAGTCCTTTCATTTATTCTGATGGCATCTGAATGTATTTGTTTCATGGCTGAATGAACACCACAATCAATTTTCCACAAAAGACTTGTTGGCGGTCTTACTAGGTAGCATTTCTGTATCAGTTTTCACTTGGCGCAAGTCTGAATTGCACGCCTGCGCATTAACAGATATGCACAGACAAACTTAAAAGCTTGAAGAGGCTTTTTCCACATTTCAGCACCAATATTGGTACAGAACCATCTCAGAGAGCTCAAAAAAGAAAATCAAGTAACATGTTTCTCATTCACTGTGCCCTACAATTTCTCTTCTATTACAAACTGAGCTGTCCGTAAAAGTTTTACTGTGATTAATTAATAATAATAATAATTATTAATAATAATTAATTAATTGAATTTCCCTTCTGGGATGAATAAAGTATTTTTCATTTCATTATGACAGAACAGGTACAATTAATGAGACTCACCGTTGATAATAATAAACGTCATTCAGGTTTTGACAAAACGTTACCAGAAGCTGAAGTTTGGTTTGTTGCTTCCAGCCATTTGTGAGAGTATTTCCTCCGAGGTTATTAAATACCTTCAGCATGAAATGTTAGGTACAAACCTTGTTTTCCACCGGACAAGGTCTTACAGTCCATGATAATTATTTTGCCCAACCAGCAGTCCAAAGCCTAAAGATATTTATGGTAGATTGTAAAGATATTAAACAGAGTAAAGCTGCAGATCTTCACATTTAGGCACTTGAACCAATGAGTTATGTCTGAAACTGTTTATCTCCTATTAAAAAGTTGCAAATTGATTTTCTCTTCTTTGACTAATCACACTAACTAATCAGTTGTGTCAGCTCAGGTCTCATTTTCAAGCTGTTTTTTTTAATCGGTTGGTGATGATGTATTTGCCTCAAGTGTTTGCAGTTTGCCTCCTATTTTGTTTGGTTGTTGCAGCTTTAGGACAAAGACTGTGATCTGTCATGTTGTGTTTTGGACTCCTGATTAGGATCCGAAACAAAATTTGGGGTTTTTAGTAAACACAGTGTCCACAGATTGAAGGAATACAACCATTTTTCTTGCATGATTTCTTTTTCCTTTGCATCCCTCTACAGGGTATTTGTTATACAATTCATTAAAGTTTATTCAGGAAAGAACCACTGCTAAATATTTCTGTTTTCTGTGCTGCAGGGGTGAAGAGAAGAGCAACCCACTTGTGGAGCAGTTCATTGCCAGGAAAGCGGACATCTTGTTCTGTCCAGCATGGAAGACTGCTACTCTTCAAGAAGAGGAGCACGAGGAGGAAGAGGACGCTGCAGGTGTGTGTTAGACTATATCATCATCTCCATCCACAGTGAAACACTTTGCTAAAAACTTTGCTTTCTTTTGATCTTTTAAGCTACTAAGATGACTAAGATGCTTAACTCTCACATCATAAAACCAGTATTTATTTCCCTGTAGTTGTTTTGATTATTGATTTATCTGCTAGGTATTTTTCATTTTATTGTTTTGTCTATAATGTGACAGACTATTGTGAAACATTCCTATTATAACTCCAATAACAGGCTGACATCTTCAAATATCCTGTTTTGTCTACACCTAAAGATACACAGGACAAAGAAATCCTCACATTGGAGAAGCTGGAAGCAGTGAAGTTATGCAGATTCTTGAAAAAATAATCAGAGCTATTATTTGATTAATAAATTAGTTACCAGCATGATAACCGAGTGGTTAGGCCACATACTACACTCTATGTAATAATAAAGGCCTAAATGCCCTGCAAAATCTTTAAAGTAGTTGCCATTTAGGGTAAAATATTGTTGTGGCTACAGTTCATAACTGTCAGCAAGATGATACATTATTCATCCCCATTGGAATCAACATTGAAATTATATTATTTCGCTGCAATAATGTTTTGTAGAAAACCTTGGGTTCTGGCATTTATGTGGATGTTACTTTGACTAAACATTGTTCCAGACCAAGCACCCCACCCTAAAAAATGTATGAAGTACATTTAGGGCTTGTCTGATGTAGAGAATTTTCTCTGTTGTTGGGAATTGTCTGATTCCACTTCCTGCCTATGATTTTTCAGAGCCCTATGCCGTCATGCCACCAGTGGAGTTATTTATGGAGGTGTCATACGAGGAGAGACGATCCATGATGTACAGGGACTTGGAAAGAGGAGACATTGTGGTGGGGAGGATCAACAATATTAGAGAATATGGCTTCTTTCTCACTCTGCTCTGCATGGCAGGAGGTCTGAAGAGAGACATAGAGGACCTTGAGCTGTCGGTAGGTCGGCAAGTTAAATCACTTGAATCACTCATGTTGTAAACCTTGTATGAAGTGAAAATAGTCAGCTACTGTAGATCCTGAAGACTTTGATTGTCAGTTGGCAAGCTATGATAGAAGTACCAACTGTTTGGTTCTGTGAATTCCTGAATGACTGCCAGTGAGAGTGAATGAAATGTCATTGAATTGCATAGGTTAAGATCTTGCATAAGCAAAAAAAAAAAATCGTGCTTGCAATGTGTGAATTCCTGCTGTGAACGTCATATTGTCTCTTTTACCTTTGGCCTCTGGGGATCTCCTGCTCTAGGAGACCTGCAGGAGTGGCAGTTGTCCGGGAATTCACAGAGCTGTTTTGTTATTTAGTGATTAACTCTCTGTGCCCAACCACATACTTGGTGCATTGATAAGCAACATGGCATCTGGAGGAGCATCTTAACAAAGCCAAGCTCATTATCCATCATACCTTTAAACTGATGCATGGAACATAAAAAAGACACACCCATTACTTAGTTTACTCTGGTTACACAAGACAAATGGCATGGTTCCCTTAGAAAACAGTTCCTGTTAATACTCGATTGATGATTTTGAACTTGATATCCTCTTTCCACTTCTCAGATCTTTGCCGACATTCTGCTGTTATTGTTTAATGAAATGCCCCACACTGGAATTTTAGTAAATCCACTGTTCTATTTGCTCTCTGGTTGCAGGCTCTGTGTCATGTCAGAGAAATTCCCTCCAGTGGCAGCCATGATGATCCCCTGTCCTACTACCAGACTGGGGACTTCATCAGAGGTTAGTGTCTTAAACAAACAGCAACACTACAGCTATCAGTAAAGTTACATTTATTCATCATCTAAACAACTCATTTCCTGCCATCATTCTACTCCTCCAGTATCTCCATATACTGCATATACTCCTTACCGAGTGTTCAGACTGAAAACAAGACTCCAAAAAGCCACACAAAAGGACAATTTAGGGGGTCCGGGTTAAATAATAATTTAATGACAGATAATGTAGCCTTAATGAACATGGTGACTGTTCTTGTTATTTTTGTTGTTTTATTATCAGATAAGCTCACCTATCTCTAGCTCAAACCAGCCTCCCTGGGTCACATTTCATCATTACACTAGTTCCTGTACCAATATACAGCACCTTGTGTTCATTACCTCAACTTTAGGTGTTCTTGCTTTCAACATCTGGTAAGGTCCACTGTAAGATGCCTAAATATTTTTGTGAAGCTAAAGAATCGTGCACAATTGTTTCCTGTAACACACTGAACTCAGGCTTACAGTCTAAAACATAAACATTTGCTACGATATAATATAGAAAAAAGGCACAACCATCACATTCAGGAAGCTGGAACCAGGCCATGTTGCTTAAAAAAAATCACTGGAACGTTTAATTGAATATCAAAGCGCTTGATGAGTAATTGTCAATCAACTAATGCACTAATGAATGAAGACCAACTGTCCAATTGATACCTCAATGTCTGTGTCTTGTGTCCCACAGAAAAAAAGGAAAATCTTCTCTGTGCTTTATTTCTCTGTAGCTGGAGTGAAAGACATTGACCGCTACCAGGAAAAAATCACTGTGTCCCTCCATCAGACTTCTCTGTCTTCCAGCTTGAAGCACATCAAACTGGGGGTCATCACCCGGGAGGAGCTGCCCATACACTACAGGTAGCAACACAAGGATTACTCAAGACTTACTGAACAAACACCTAGCTATTTTTACTTTTAAATGGTCACTGAGGAGGATCTGAAGAAGAAGGTGGAGATAGAGGAGAGGATAGTGAGCAACCTGACATCTGCACACAACACATTCATAACTCAACAAGTGGGCTGACAATAATTATCTGCACGCCTGAGTCAAAGATGCAGCTATAAGTTGTTGTCTATGCTCTTGCCTGTTTCTGGGCTTAAGTCTGGCTTACATTCATACTTGCCTGTTTTGCTAGCAGGTTACTGCATATTTAGTACGTAATATGGCTGTAATAACTGTAACTTTAAACAGATCATGCCTTCCCCATCTGTTTTTGTATTTTAAAATGGGACTTGAAGGTTATTATGTCATCCCTATGCATTGATAAGATGCAAGGTATTGTATGAGGACATCTCAAACTGGTTTATTCTAAGTGCAACTGATCAGCTGTATTTTTAGTTGAAGTTTATTTGGAGTTTTTTTTTTTTTTTTGTAAGCTTCAGATTGTTTTATCATGTTTCTCTTGAAAAGATACTGGTTATTTGAAGCTGAGTACTCCCCATCTTTGGGAGTTTGAAGAATATGATAGCAGTATAACAGCTTCCAGTATTTTTGTGTTACATAAGTGTCCTAGCTAATATATCAATTTAACTCTAAATAAATCCCCCAAGTGCAGGCAATTATGTCATAAATAACTAAAACTGCAGTATTTTTTCTTTAGGATTTTACTTTATGGGTTGTTATAGATCCAGTTAGTGCTCAGTTCCAGCAACTCTGACTCGTGTCCTCTCTTTAGTCGTAGCGTTCGAGCAGCCAGTGACTCCAGTGAGACGTATGAGTGTATACTGACAAGTTGCCATGGTTACCACAACCCATCTGTAGTGGACTACCTGCTGGAGAAGGTGGGAGTCAGTGACACCCACCCGCCATCAATGATGCGAGGACTACAGAGGTAAACGCGTTGACAAACAGGACACTCGTTTTCTAGCAAATTGTTTAAGCAGCTTTAGTGAGTTTCATTGTATTGCCAGCAACAATTTTTGGTTTCTTTGACTTGTTTAAAAATTAAATGCAGGGTAAAGTACTAGTAAGTTGACTACAACTCAGGAAGCACATAGTGTTTCTTAAGAACTCCTGTAGCCTCAGTTGTCTGGTTAATTATAAGTCACCAATTGCCAAGTACTGGGACAACTCCTGTGTTTATTTTTGAGTCACTTTTTTTCAACTGCAGCCAGTTTTCAGCACAAATTTGGTTGTAATGTCACATAATTTGAATTACATGACATGGAAAATGACTCCTGCTACAAGTGATTTTTCTTGTACCTGAGATAATATGGATTTTCACCTTCAAGTTGTGCTGGTAAATAGTGGTAACCTTTAAGAGACGTAAGCCCATAATGTTGAGAGTTCTTACCTGTCCCTTTTTGTCTCCACAGTAAACTTTTCCAAGAGGAGGATTTTGCCTTAGCAATCAGGAAGAAGCAGTCTGCATCATGGGCTTTGAAGTGGTAATGACTAACTTTGACCACGGGACATAGATGATGTCATTGTTTCACTGAACTATTTAACTTGTTGTCTTTCTTTCTTTGCCTTCTTCTGACTTGACTTAAATACAAACTTGTCTTACTTTGTTTTCTTTTTCAGCGTCCGTGCTGGTGTGGACCACTTCAAACACAGTCGTCATGTAGAAGCCATGAATGAATACAACAAAGCCTTGGAAATTGACACTAATAACGTAGAAGCTCTGGTGGCACGTGGAGCTCTGTGAGTCAAAAAAACAGATTTTTGATCTTATCATGCTGTATAACTCCGGTTCAGTGTTACCAGTCTTACATGGTCCTTTTTACAATGAAAGTGAATTATTAGATATTTTTGCATTAAATGCTCATACTTAGAGTTTCCAATGCCTTTTACATTGTGTATCTTTGTTTTGCTTCGTAAATTCATGTGAATTTGAAAAAAGTGGGTTGTGCTGCCAAAGAATGCCTTAGACAGAGAGTATGAGGAACAATATTTTTGACACTACTCCTCTTCCTGCCATAAATTAATTGAAGCAATTACAGGCAGTCCTTGGCTTGTTGCCTGGTCAGTGTGAAAACAAACACACACCTTTTATGCCTTTAAATGCCGATGAGACACTTACACAATGCTATAACAGAAACAGAGCTCCTTTACAAATTAAATAATAGACAAACAATGCAGAAAATCGCAGTAGTGGCTCAGACTTGTTAAAATATCCTTTAATTTATTTACATTTCTGTCTTTTTTTGTGCATTTAACAGCTTTAATCCCCCTGTATGCATTGGTAATGTCTTACAAATCATGCTAGTCACACTATAAAAACATTGTTAAGCTGTTTGACTGATATCTTGGAATAGAAATAAATAAATCTTTCTGAGAAATAATTATTGTTTTTTTTATTTACTGCCAGATATGCAAACAAGGGGAGCATCATGAAGGCTATATCAGACTTTGAGCTGGCTCTGGAGAGCTGTCCAGATCACCGCAATGCCAAGAAGTACCTCTGCCAGACACTGGTGGAAAGAGGAAAACAGTAAGCAGTGTTCCACTTTGCAGACAATGATGCATTAGATCTTGGATTTCACTGCTGATAGTTCCCATCACAACTTATTGACAGGATGTCTGTCCTTTTGTTCTTTTTCAAATAAAAAATGTTCTTAGTTTACTCCCTGCTTAAATTTGCCGATTAGTTAAGAAAGACTGAGATTATTCAGAGATATTCTTGATTGTATGAGTTATTGTAATAATAGCAATTCATTTCAATTCAATTCAATTCAATTCAATTCAACTCAAATAACTTTATTTATCCCATAGGGGCTATTCAACAGTTCACTGAGTATTTAATATAAAGACATCAAAAAAACAAAACAATAAATCACATCATAAATATCACATTATAGTACATGGGATGAATTTTGTAGAGTCAGGAGACATGAGTTCCAATCTGTTCAGCACAGTCATGATGTGGTGTGAAGCTGCAGCTGCCTTTGCTTTAGGGTGGATGTAGACCAGGATAAAAAGTAGCTGGGGCAATTCCCTTGGAAGGTAAAAAGGACAAAGGGAAACAGTCAGGAGTTCAGTGTTCGTGGTGCACAGTCTCTCCCTTGCTATCACAAGAGAACACCACCGTTTGTTGACATACAGGCGTACACCGCCACCATGTTTCTGACTGTCAGCTGACTGTCACGGTTGAGCCTTATTGGTGTCCCAAAGCTATATATAAAGAACTGTTGCTGTCATTGCTGCTTAGCCAGGTTTTGGTGCATGCCAAATTTGCAGCAGTCCTGTATTTGTGCATATACGCTGAGTCAACCACACGAGTAGTGACCCAGAGGCACATTTGTCTAGTGTGTAGTACACTTGTTTAAAACACTATAGAAAGGTTTTCCACAGCTCAAAAGTGGTGATAAAAGGCTAAACAGCCTTATCACCTATAACCTTCTTAATGGTATATTCTGCAAGAAAAAAAAATGATTTCCTCGTGTCAACACCTGTGGACACGAGGAAAAAGCGCATGCTGATCCCATGTTTTTCACAGTTTGTGTAAAATATATAATCAAGGAAATAAAACTTGAAATTCTTTTTGCTCTTTATGATTTATAGCATTATTACTTTTATACTGCACAAGACATTTTGGAGTTCTCCCTACATGTAGCCATGGCCGTGCTGTTTTCACAGAGGTGCAGAACTTTATGCTGCAGTAAACAAAATGTGAAGATGTGACAGAAGAAAAAAAAACACATAGAAACTGCTTGAGATTCACAGGATTTAGTTTTATTTTGTTGTACAAAATATGTTATTCATGCCAGATTCATAATGCCGCTTTCACTTTGTCACGTTTCTTGTACTGAAATTTTGCATCCTGATTAGAGCAAGTCCAATAATGGCAACGTCCACTCGTTATAGCCTTGTGCATAAAGGTCTCGCTAAGTCCAGAATTATTGGGGGAATTGAACAAGAGTCAAGCGGCTAATCAAAAGGTCCTCTGAGCTGACTTTAATTACATCTAAGTAAACTACTTTCTTAACTTTAGTTGAGCTTGTCAGGGAATGTGTACTTCCAGGCTATGTAACAAGCTCAACAGTTTGTTTTATGTTGAGTTCATAGACGGGCAAGTTCAGCATCAGGGCTGCGGCTCCAGACAGTCGTGGTCAAGGAGAACAGTTGTGTTTACAGTCTGAAACAAGAACTTTCCCACAGGGTCTGTGCCATAGATTTTTTTTTTCTAATTGATTGCATCATAGTCGCAGTAATCTGTCTTGTTAGATGTATGTTTTGGACATTTGTCTGGTTTGTTCATGTGTCCTGTTTGTTCCTTTAACACAAAGAAGTCACTGTAGTGATGCAAGCGATATCAGGAATACTGCAGTTCAATTACAATTACATAGTACAGTTGTTGACCTTATTCACTCAAAGGTTTACTTTTTGTGTTTTTGTGTTAAGGCTTGAAGAACAGGAGAAACTAGTAACAGCGGAGGGACTGTACCGGAGAGCTCTGTCTCTGGATGACTCAAGCCCTGAGGCGCAGGAGGCCCTGCACAAGATCACAGACACTATACAGGTGAGCGGGCCACAACACACACACACACATACACACACACACACACACACACGCACAAGGGGTTTGCAGGCCTATATTATGTATTTTAGGCTCAACTATTAAAGGACATGCCAACAATAGGAGGCATATCAAAGTCCTGTTAAAGCTTAACTTTAAATGTAGTGTTGCGTGTGACTTTCGAGAAATAAAACAAACAAGCAGCTGCGTGCTGTTGTTCAGCCTCTCAGAACACGGTGGGATGGTAGAATGATTAGTTTGGCATCAAAGCAGCATAAAAGTCTACCTGCAGCCGGCATTTCTGTTAAATGTTTTACGTGTTTGTTTTTCTTTGTGACGAATAAGTGGTCCAGTATGTCTTGGAAAGACAAATAGTTTTAGAAAATAATCACATAACTGTCAACTTTCCTGAGCTAATTCTAACTTATATTCATGAGCTGGCCAGAGACGCAACTCCAAATAAACAATAGTGTTTCTCTTTTTAACTATTTACTGTGTTAATAGGTGGCTGTTTGCTCACACAGTTCATCGTATCAACTTAAAAGATGATATGTAAGTGATGTGTAAATAGCTTGCTTTTTTCTCTGCTCAAGTGCCCCCCCCCCTTTTTTTAAATTTTGGTTGAAATTTAAATACTGCAGGGAAGTGTAAGAATCTCACAAGTGTGCCTGCAGACCTTCATTGTAAGCAGATAAAATTCAGCACCTTTATATCCGGAGAGTTTTTCTACTATCTTACAATAAAGTAGTGCTTCTTGTCCTCGCTTAGCGTCACACTCAGGTCTGTTGAACCTGAGCAAACCTTTGTCCAACCTTTACGTTCTTAAATCATTAACAAGTTACAGGAAGAAGGGTCAACCAGGAAGAATTAAAACTTCAGCTTATTTACTAATGGTTAACTAAAATAGTAACACTTAATGATTAATATCCAAACATGAAACTTCAGCCTTTTTTGTTTTTTCTGCCCATGAGGGCGGTCACTCTGGAGCCATTAAGGCAGAAACATTGCTCTAAAAAATGAATTATTTTCAGCATCAGTCATTTTATTGATCTATGAAAAGTATCCACCACCAGCTGAATATGAGCGAACGCAAAGAAAAATATCTATTTTTTTAATGTAATGTATTTGATTAAAGCAAAGTCAAGAATAGGTTGTTTCGTAGTGCACTTGTGTTTTGAGTTTATTCGGTTTATACCCAAAAAACAAACACACTACAAAACACTTTTGTACGGAGCTCATGACAAAGGATCAATCGATCAGAAACAATCTTTAGACAAACTCACTGTATTGAGAAGACCTCTGTTTTTGCACATTAGTGTGGGGGTGCACCGGGGTCTATAGGGGCTTAAAGTGTATGGATAGTTGTCCTCAAATGCATTCATACCCTTCCATTAAAGAAGGAAAAAAACAGCTGTCACTGAAATAAGTTGATATTTTCAGAAGTAATAATAAATAGAAATGTAGCGAAAGACATGACATTGCTTTTGAATTGTGGTTCAGCAGAAATATTAGAAAAAACAAACAAAACAAACAAACAAGCAAACAAGCATAATGGGACCCGTAAACTCATATTTTGTTGAACAACCCTTTGAATCAATCACTGCAATCAGGTGTTTTCTGTAACTGTATCAGACTTCTGCACCTGTTGACAGGTATTTTGATTTTGGCCACTGCTCATCAGCAAAGTGCTCTAATTTGTCCTGGACAGTGTTTTTTCTTTCTTTCTTTTTTTTTTTTTTAAATTACTCTTTTCCACCACAATTCAAAAGCAATGTCTTATTTCACTAAATTATAATTTAGCAATTTTTAGCACTTTTTTCGGTTTCTAGTTATTTGAGTGACTACTGTGAATTTTGCCTTTTCTTTAATGGAAGGGTATGAATACATTTGAGGACAACTGTAAACCAGTATCATGAACTGCTGCCCAAAGTGCTGAAGCATATTAGCGAGCACTCACAAAGTGTATATTGTCCCAGTTATAATATTTTTTTGGAACAAATTTAAGAAACTACGTTCTATGTAGTCTTAACTAGTTTCTGGTTTTCAACATGAACAACATCTTCTTACACTGTAATAGTAATGTGCAGGTCACCCAACTACCTGCCAGTAAACCCATTAATAGAAAATATTACACGTTTGGGTCAAAAAGTGGCAAAGCAGCGTAAGGGCTAAGCTACTCATAGCTTACACCAGGATTGTGTGTAATTGGCCCAGGGTGTGATTACTAACCCACCTTCCACTTTCTCTGTCACTCTCTCTGTTTCTTTCTCTCACTATACAGTATGTTAGAGTTATATTGAAAAGGAAACCCTACAGGATCATTGTTTCACTTTCCAACAATGGATTTCACAACCTAGTTAGCAACTGTGAAGACACCACTTGATTCCACTGTCCGCTAAGATGTGATATACTCAACCACATGCATTCTTTTTTAAATTTAAACAATGGAGTTAACAAACTATGTGATGGTACCATTTCTAAATTAACCATAATTTCACATTATGTTTGTGTAAAAAAAAAAAAAAAAAAAGCAGACAGCATATATGCTGATATTGATAAATCAGTGACAGGTCAATTTTAGATGATAATATCAACTGACTGATATCCCAGTTAGACTCTTATTTCTGTAATCATTCAGTAGCATCTGCGCTGCAGCTGAAAATACACCCCACATCACACCACTCTTATAGAAATGTGTTTTAGGCTCAGACATGACTACATATATAGTTTTTACGACAGATCTTTGGTGTAATCTGGAATTTCAGTTCCTAGCATAAAATTTCAAGATGTCCTTAGTCATTCATTCAGTATCCAGTTATAAGTGGAGTAGGGACAGAAGGAACATAACTAGATGAAATAGAATTATTGCAGTTCAGGTGTCGCATATGGCGTAGGTGCTAATATTAAAACACTCTGACCCCAGTGACTCAGGTTCGATTTGAGCTCGGGCCCTTTGCTGCATGACCCTCTCTCCCGTCAGCTGTTCCCTTCTAATGAACATAATCTCTGTAAACCTAGAGCCACGCATCACGAGGTTGTAAATATGTGTGTTGTTTCTCGACACTGTGGTTTGTAATACTGATGAAGTGTTTCGGTGTGTGTGTGTGTCTGTGACTCTGGGACTCTGCCATTTGACCCTTCAACTGCCACGGCCTTGTCACCTGCCTTGTGGGGGCAAATAAATGAACTGCACAATGTCACCGACTCCTCCTCCTCTTCTGGACACTGGTGTGCCCCATGTCCCTGGTCCAAATATGGTAACGTTGAAACTTTGAAACAACAAATGCTGTTTCAATTCTCTGCACATCTCTGCCTGCACCTCTGTTCCTCCATCTGCTTCTATACCAACTACCCTGCTCTTGGGTCATACCACTCTCTCTATGGTAAACACGTGGCCCTCCACACATTTCTCCATCATTCTGCCGTATGTTTTGTGTTCGTTATGTTCTGATACCCTTCACAAACCTTTGATTTTCTTTTTCCTCTCTATACATTCTTACTCCAACACGACTGAATAAATGGCTGGATGTCGTTTTGGGGGTGTCTTTTGCATGTTTTGGGTCATGGTGTGTATGTTTTTGAATATGTTTCTGTGGGCTTCTGCCTGCCTGCCGTTGTCATACCTTGCCTTGCCTGGTGACCGTAAAGAAATCGATCCGCCTCCGAGAAGAAGCGCTGGCTAAGGAGCAGGTCAAAACTAAGGGCAGCCAGACCAGCGCTGAGAAATTACGTAAGATCTTAAAAGAGGAAAAGAGGTACGTTTATCTTTTGAAGGTATGGCAGGTGAACATACTGCCGGTAAAGACATAACTCTCACAACTTAAAAGCAATCATGTGTTTCAACAGAAAATCGATTATCAGTGGATATCTCTCTCTTTTTTTTTTCTCCAGGATGAAGAAAAAACGCAAACGATCAGCCTCTTCTTCTTCCTCATCCTCTTCTTCCTCTAGGAGCTCCTCTTCTTCTTCATCTTCCTCCTCTCGCAGGAGGTCCAAAAAGAAAAAAAAGAAGCGGAGGAGGTCTGAGCGCGGAAGTAAACGCCATCGCAGGATCTCCTCACGGGAGAGCAGGAGGAGCGAGGAGGGTAAGAGCGACAAAGACAGGAAAGAAAAAGAGGAGGACGAGGTGGAGTGGTATCCCGCACCTCCCAACACGTCTGCCACTTTTCTCAACCAAGAGGGAGTCCTGGGGTTCGGAGCAAGGGATGGGGGAGAGGGAGAGGGGAAGGACGCTGAAGATAGAAGGATCAGCCAGCTGTACTCTTTGTCAGCAGCTTCAGACGAGGAAGAATCTGACTCCTCACGTAGAGAAAGAAAGAGAAAGGACAGAGAGGAGAGCAGGAAAAGGAAAAACAGCCTGAGCAGAGGCCCAGAAAGAGAAGAGAGAAGGAGCAGAAGTAGAGAAAGAAGGGAGAAGAGCAGGGAGAGAGAAAAAGAGGATAGCAAGAGCAACAGGAGAGACAGTGACTTCAAGAGGAGAAGTAGCATAGACAAGAATCGAAAACTGTCCTGCTCGTCTGCTGAGCTGGAGTATTCCTGGAAGTCTAGTTCCCGATCTGACTATTTAGGAAACTCTGGTTCTGCTTCCAAACTCCCAGAGAACAGGGCGAGACGTGACTCATCAACTAGGAACTCCTTTGACGGCGGTAGGTATGAGAACAGAGAGAGGCAGGAAAAAGTGGAAGAGGCAAAAAGAGAGAAGGACGGCAGGAAGGTTAGAGCAGAGGAAGAGAGCAGCACATCAGATCGAGGACATGGGAAAAAATCTGAAAATCACAATGAGCAGAACAGTGTGAGGCCTAAAAAAGACGTCCCCGCCAACCTGCTGGATATTTTTAACCAGATTGCCCAGTTTGAGAAAGAAAAAGGAGGGAAGCTGAAAAAATAGCTCCAATACAAAAAAACCCACAGTATGCAACTATTACAGAAACAATATGAAATGGATGTTTGTGCCACAAAATCACTCGCTGCACCTAATCAATGATCAGATCTGATGCTGACTGAATGTCTCCAGTCGTTGTAAGCTACCTTCAGTGTTGGAGAAAATGAGCCATTTTACTTTGGAAAGTCTTATTCTTTATGGTGAATTTAAGGTCTGCTGTAGTAATTATTGGAAAGTAACTTGTCCAAATGTAATAAAATGTGCTCCTAAATGACGACCGATATATTATTTGTAAACAAGGAAGACAGATTGATAATGAAAATCTATTGCAGTAAAATGAAAATTTCGCTGTCAAAATTTGGAATAACACAAATTCCACGACAAAATTTTACAGAAATGTCATTACAAATAATTAAAAGAGAACCTTTTAGCATTCATCCCTTCGGTGTTGATAGGCTATTACTCGTCAATACTCTTTCGGTATCTCTTTCATCTGCCTATTTCGAGGGTCATTTTGTGTACATTTTGACAAGTTATGACATTATTTTGCACTACAGGCTTTATTATCTCTTGTTTTGTGATGCTAAGTTGAGACTTTTTGCTGTTGAAGACGATGACTGCCTTATGTTTACTACCGCGTGCCATGTTGTGCGTTCTTTATATGGCTTGTTAAAACTCTTCCCAAACAACCTGACTGTTAGCGCTGTAGTACTTTTTTTTTTTTTTGACCAGCTTCACACAAAGCAAATGTTCCAGCTGGATTCCAACTCATTTGTTCATGTAGTAAAATAAACTCACTCAATAAAGCATTCAAAACGTCAGACCTCCATGCCATTTAAGTGATTTTTCAGTCATTGTCCCCCACCTGTTTCAGATTTCATTTAAATATGTACGCACTTTTATTCTGATACGGTGTATTATTTCAGTGATTAAACGTTGTTAACCCTCCGGAGCGCTCACACAGGAGGATGAATGCAGGAGGCTGTAGTGAAATTGTTCTTAGTGATGTAAAACTACTTCAAGCACGGCAGCACCAACTTGTAACCAAACTTAAAAGTGTGTTTTGGGGCTGTGTGAATCATTCCGGAGAGGTTTTCGCACACTTGAATCATTTTTATCCAAATGAAGACCAAAGCAAACCTAGAGAGACTACGGCCTGTCGAGACCAGCTAAAATCTTTATGATAGAGGGCAGCATCAGCATCCGAGGTCAAATATATCCTCATATTGTCAGAACAGTCAATATTTTTAACTCGACGGTAACAAAGGGCTTATTCAAGCGCACAGTCCGCGATGATGTAAATGCAACAGTGCTGAAAGCTCCCAGTCAGAACTTGGTGGTGGAAATATTCAGCTGTGGGGCTGTTTCAAGTGACTTGCACAGGATCCTAGCAGAGAGAAATACCACTGAGGCTTGCTACCTCTTCTGGCTCAGTAATATGTGTGGAAGAGGATTCATTTTCCAGCAGGTTATTGATCCTGAACATGCATGCAAGCTGCTGTGTATCGGCCTGTTTGATGTGCAAGGTAGAGCAAGCACTGCAGGCCTGTGTCGCTTTCCTTGCACATTTACCAGAACCAAACTTCACTGAAAAAACATGGAAAAAGTCCTAAAGTGTGAAGAGGAGACGCACAGCAACATCACAAGACACTGAGTTGGGATGTCATCAAAGTTCAAGTTGGTTCACCCAAATGATTGAAGACCCCCTCTAGTGAACATCAAGTTAGTTATTTTTTTTTTTAACCTTGTTAGCATGTTCTTGTGGTGTTTTTTTTAATATGCTAGAAGACATATGATGAGTGATATAAGCAGTCAACACCACAACTGAACATTTTTAACTTGAAACTGCAGTGTACCGACGACCGCCTCAAAAATATTCAGACTTCTGGGATTTGATTTGTAACAAACTGTACAAACTGATTCTGTCAATTTGTGGGGTGAGGCTTTAATTATTCTTCAGGATCTGTTTTTCGAACAAATTACTTCAATATTACAGCCTTGCATGTTGTAAAGTGGTTTTTAGAGTGTTAGAGCAGAGTTGTAGGTGTGCTGGTGTGCTCAAGCTGCACTTCAGAGCAGAGGAGAGGCAGGCACTTGATAGAGCCGGACGTTCTAGAGGAAATAATGTATAGAGTTCTGTCTAAGTCATTTTAAAGTAAGAAGAATTTTTTTTTCATGGGAAAATATTCTAAATATGTAACTTTGATACACAGATATGAGTTTAGGGGCTTATTTAATGACTGGAATAATTTTTAAAAAAAAAGTAAAATACTCATGTTCCTTGGTTTATTAGCAGCAGCTTGCTCAACAATGTTTCCCAAGGTGTTATTGCATGCTCTCTTTTTCGCATAAGAAGTTTGTGCAGTTGTTTCAAACCTGCAGATATTAGAAGTTCTCATTTTGAATAAAATTAGAAAGCTCCGAAAACTTTGGTTTTGGGTGAATAGGTCTAGATTTCCATGACTCAAGGTGTGAATCATAAATCTGCCTGGGGAGGGATATCAGGACTGCATTATAAGTATCTGATAGGTGGTGTTGTAAACCCCCTTTGTTTGTTCCAGTTGTTCCAGTTTAACATAGGTGGCTTCCTTCAGCCCTCTCTCAAACCAGCTGTCCAATCTGTCCAGAACATGAACATTACCACCCTCCAAGTGTTGTCCCTTTATCTTTTAGAGGTGCGTGGACTGCTGAGTCTCATCCTGAGAAGCTGCCTCTCCTGTACGGTGCCATTTGCTGGCTTGTGGGATGGTTATTCGGTTCTCCCCATATGGCCATTAACAGGCTATGAGCAGTGCGATTTGGTGAGTGAGAATAAATACACAAAACTCTCCACCAGTCAGAACTGAGGGAGCTTCTTGGACGAAAGCTTGAAACAGATTCAAGAAACAAAGAAATAACCCAGTTGTTTTCTACTGCACCACTGAGGGCATTGGTGGTAAACTCAAATACACAGTGGGTAAAAATAAAAAAATGGGACTAAGTCGCGGGCCAGACTTGATATATATATATATATATATATATAAGTGCATCAGTGGCATTCATTTCTTATTTTTATTTAAATGAATAAGCTGCTGTTTTCCATCTTTTTGTGAGTGGTGACTTAAATGTTCCCAAGGTGTAACATGAGGTTGCTAATGAATGTCAACAGAAGGGGGAGGGGACGCTTATGGGTCTTCATTGACGTGCCAAAGCTCTAGCAGAGCATGATGGGATGTGTAGTATTAGTGGTGCATGTGCTATGTACCGGAGGGCCAGCTCTAATACACATTTGATACTATCTTGCAGGCCAAAGATAATTACACTGCGGGCGAGTTTGACACCTATGACTTTAAGGTTACAACTGGAATACTGTTGAAGTCCTCACAAAGGCAAAATAAATGCCGAAGTTATCTTATTTGGTATAATGATAAAACAGAAGGTGTTGGCAGTTTAGTTTTGTTGCTGGCTTTGTATGTCCATATCTCTTCATTTTATATGATATTTGTTTCAAACTGAGGTTATAATGCCTGAAAAATGCGATGGCCTAACACACATCTGGTCTCATCCCTGAACTTAACAAATTAAAGCCAAAGTGGCCTTATGGCTTATTGGCGCTTAAAGCTACTTGGTGTCACACATTTGATTTAATAACTGGACTCACACACATCAGTGGTTGTGCGACCAGCCGTGCGTCGCCATGTGCCAAAGTAGCTTACTTCAGGCTTAGCTGCCAACCTCTCGCTTCCCTCCTCCATCATTACTGGTCCCATCATCAGTGATGCAGTGGAGAGGCTGCGCATCCCAGTCTATCTTGTTAGGGCAGATTAACCACTAATATACAGGCAGAGGAGAAGCCTCTTCATCTAATGCTGGAGACACACTCTCCGGATCCTGTCCTTCCTGTCTCAGACGCCTGACGTCTTAATCTTTATAAAATACTGACTACAGGAGATCGTGCTGAGTGCTCACTCTGTGGGTCATTAGTCCTATAAAGAGTCACTGGAGAGGAGTTTTTGGTCCTCGCCAAGACGCATCACTGAGCACATGGATTATTCCGGCCTAAAAATTTGTGATAAATGGATTGCAGTCTGATTTTGCTCTGCACTTTCAATTATAACTGTCAAACACTGCATAGAGGAGGAAAAAAGACAGCATAAAAAACAGATGTCTTCTCATAACTGTAATAACAGTGTGAGATCTTTTAAACATGATACGCTTTTTTTTTTTTGGTCTATAGCCCGCACACCTTGTTGAATAAAATTTGTATTTTGACATAAAAAAAAACCCCAAAAAAAACAAGGAGGAATGTTTTAGAGGAGGGCAAAGTCTTGTTTTTATGAAATCAAATCTACACCACGAAGAACTAACAATGCCCTCACCAATAATTCAGCTTAGGTAGCCAAAACCCAAATGTCTCCTTCTGTTTTTTGCAGCTCAGAGGACAATGGACAGTGCTATGATAGTACCCACCTGTCACTCAAAACAGCCACGCCCTTAAATATGCATAACTTTAAGCTTCAATACAATTTAAATGGGTAAGTTATATATAAAGTCATCCTTCATACAGTTTTTATGAAAAGAGAAAATCGCTAAAAAGACCAAAAGTGTTCTTTGTATGAGGCTGTGAACATGTTTATTTCTGCTGTAAAGTTGGACAGTTTAACACAAGGATCTAAGGGGATTGACTTGCTTTTGGAGCAGGCCTCAAATGGCCTTTTGTGGGAACTGCAGTTTTTACACTTTAGCGCAGGCTTTGTTTTTCAATCCCAGAGGATGTTGCTTGGTTTTGAAATAGACAAGTACACACAGTTTGATAGTTCTCATACTGCAGTCACAAAACTCAGAGAGATATAGTGAACTCGTACGCTAAACAGAGGCTGTTTAAAAAGAATAACACATTAGAGGCCGTTCAAACTGGCACATGTATCAGAATGTCTAAGGTACTGCAACACCAAAAATGTACACTGTGTTGCCATCTCACTTAGAATTTCAGTTTTGTATGAAAATCCACCCATTTCATGTTCCTGAGCAAAGCACTGACTCCCCATAACCTCCTGGAAAGTCATTAGGGAGCACATGTCTCAAAAGTCCTTTTTTACCCTTGAAAACTCATCTCAAGTTACATATTTTATTAGCATTATTAGTTTTAAAAAAAAATAAAATAATATGTTATGTTGTTGCTTGCCCTAGACTGTGTGGGTCTCTACTCTCCGGCAGGTTGTAATACTGAGTAATTCAGCCACACGTTTGTAGATCATCAGTGATTCTAAAGAATATTGACATAAAAAACCCCACATTGCAAGTTGACAGGATTATTAAATATAAAACAATAGAAGAGTGAATCCATGTTTACAGTCTGTATCAAGTGTGCAGAGGACAGCTACGACTGAAAAACTCTAGTATGTGCGATCATGATTTGAATTTGAAAATATTTATCACTAAGACAAAGATTCAAGTTCATGATCTCATGATGCTAGCATAGCTGCCCAATGTTTGCCTTCATGTATTCTGTCATTTACACCAGTGTTCACAGACAGTACATCACTTTGTGATCAGTACACTGCAGATTCGCGGTGGAAAGGCTCAGCTATGGGGCTGGCTGCTTATTTCACTCATGCTGTGTCTTCCAGGAAATAAAAAAAAACTATGCATGATCATGTTAACAAGGTAAAAAAAAATAAAAAAACACACACCTAATAGTGGCTGGAGGGAGCTTTTAAAATGCTCTGTCAAAGAAACACATTCGCTGTCCCTGTGCAGCTGCGTTGGTGCTGCAGGTGCGCAGGTTTCCACTGGAGGGCAGTGGAACACTGTGTTTGCAGACACTAGCAGTGGATTTCAG